ATAGCAGATAATGCAAAGGGCTAGGTTTGAATTTCCTATTCATCGTTTCCAATTTCTCAGTAACCAAACAGATGGTAAAGAAACCAACAACATATGAAGCAGCACAACAATAGTGGCAGCGAATGATTTGATAAGAGTCTGAACCTTCTAAGCTCATGCATATCATCATGTGTGGAGTTTGCTAGCAACACTCTGCTATAGAATAGTCATTCTGCGTTCATTCACTTGTTAGCACTTTGAACAATACACATTCTGCACTCCGAGCAAATGGACACACAAACAACGGGGTTCCCTATACGCTTTTTGGGACGAATTATTATGAACACACGAACCCGGAGCAAATGAATGATTATAATTAAGATAGATTACACTTATTAGTATTTTAAAAATCTCATTATGCACTCCTCACAATTATATTTTTCTTTTTATTTATAGAGAGTTTAGAGTGCAAACTAAGAATATTTTAGTGCTATGAAAACAAATCTACTATAAGACTCTAGATTTAAGATATATTTAATGGTATATTTGACTGCGTTATAATGAAAATAGAAAGTGTAACGGTTATTTTTTATAATTTTTGAAAGAGTCATACGCAACACGCTATTGCACAGAAACAACACGTGTTTAGATTGAAGCTTATTGAGACATATTAAAAATGAATAGATCCTTTGAGTTCATTGGTTGTGTCATGAACATTACATACTATACTCATTTTAATACGTTGATATCCATTGATTTATAAATATATTAAAATTTCGATTAAATACACCCCCTAAATTATTTGTTAATTTAGTGCGCAATTGTAGACATCAAAGTTTCGGTGGTCAAGTAATGAATCCCACACAATCTACCACTTGCAACGCTGCTAGAATGTTAGAGATTAGCATGCTGATGACAATGCTTTATATGTTGGATTAACCATACATACGTAGGTATCCGCTTCGAATGAGTGTCAACTGGTTCACCATGTCCAGAGTTTCCAGATTTTTTATTACCTACCAAAATCGTAAGACTTCACATTCGAAATGTTAACTTCACACACCAAATTGGTCCATCAATCATCAATTAAACTTCATTCAATCAAAGGGGTTTTGTGTTGAGAATCAATGTCATTTGTAGGTGAAGTAAGTGTGTGAGGTTGGTGAAGTAAGTGGAGGTTGTAGGTGAAGTAGGTGGATGTTGTAGGTGAAGTAAGTGTGTGGTGTAGCTTTCATTTGGTTTGCTATAAATACCCAAGTCCCCAAGCATTGTATATCATCCAAGGAAAAACAAAGCCTAGAGCTAAATAAGAAAAGCTTTGCTAATTAGTTTGTTTTGTGAGCTTTCTTTAAGAGTGTGCTCTATTTTCTTCTTCTTGGGATCATTAGAGTTATCTTGGATACTCTTCTTATTCAACAATTGGTATCAGAGCCAAGTCGGTCAGGGATCTTTCTTGGTAGAGCATTGGTTGTAAAGTCTCTTGAAATTCCAAGTATGCTCTGTGGTTGCAGTTTTGACTGATCTTCCACATCAGAAAAAATTTCTTGAGATTATTGTTGGGGTTATCACAAACCTTGAGAGGGAGCTTCTTTGTGTCGAGAGTAGTGTATTACTCTGCATGGTAGTCACTCAAGCTTGTTCGGTGTAGTCAAAGTCTTGCCGATACGATGGGTGATCTTCAAGTTGTTGGAGGAATCAAAAAGCTCAACAATCAAAACTATAACACGTGGGCAACGTGTATAGAGTCTTACCTTCAAGGTCAAGACT